TTTTTTTTCTTTTATTTTACTTTTTCTCTCTGCTTGCACAGGAGTTGGCCTGACCTTGGTGAGGCCTGGCTGGTGTCTTATAATTTCTCAGCCCTCCTATAGGAGACTTGAGCCTGAAGGAGCCTGTCTGTCCATTTTAACCTATTTGAACTGCATTTGGTTGGGGAGGCAAGCAGTGTTCTCCATGAAGCTCAGCACAGGAAGATATCGAGGGGAGCCAGGAAGGGGTCCCCTGAGGGCTGAAGTTTCATACTTGGGCAGGGAAGGCAGAGTAACCAGGGGATGGAGAAGTGACTACTGGGCCGGGACAGGGTCTCATTCCCTCCAGGAGAATTGGGGCTGTGAAATCCGAGAGGACAACCGCACCAGGGGCTTCTGGAATTTCTACTATGATGGGGAGCCCTTCCTCTCCTATCACCCAGAGACGCGTAGCTGGACGGTGCAGCCATCCTCCGCTCAGATCTTGGCTACGAAAGTCAAGAATTCCTTGGTTGCAGACGGCATTCAAAGCAAGGCTCAATGGGCCCATGTGCAGGGAACAGTTTGTGGAAGACTCCGGAGACATCTGAACTCCTGGATAGCCTTCAATGAAACTACAGGTACCCCCCATTCCTGAAGCTCCAGGGGACCCTTTGTACTATGGGACACGTGTGTTCCCTGTGAGTGTGTTGTAGTCTGATTGCCCTGTCCTGATAAGCTTCTGGATAAAGACAGGAGGGTTTGGCAGCAAATGAACTATCTGGGCCATGAGCAGGAAGCAACCTGAACCTTAGGAAGCAGGGGTTTAGGCAGGACTGGAATCCTCACCTACCTGTCTGCCTACCAGCCTGTTTATCATGTAGAGCTCCCTCTTGGACCCATGACCCAGGAGAACCCCCAACACCCCTTCTTCAGCATCAACGTTTGGGAGAGACAATGTGAGGCCACAAGCCAAGGCCTATCTTCCTGCCAGTCAAAGGATTGAGGCCCTAGACTGAGAATAGACTTGCAGAAGGTCAGGAGTCAATGAGGACTTTGGCCATAGACAGAAGAAGAGTGGAGAGAACTAGCCCTGTTCCCTCTTCCTTTATTAGAGGGGAGAGAGGTTTGAAAACATCCCTGACTTGTTCTACTTTTTCTGCCTTTTCTTCTCCAGTGTCCCCAACAGTGAATGTAACCTGTGATGAAGTCTTGGAAGACACCATCTTCGTGACCTGTTGGGCTTGGGGCTTCTATCCCAAGAATATCTCTCTGACCTGGCTTCAGGATGGGGAACCCCTGAGCCAGGACACACAGAAGTCTGGGAGTATCCTGTCCTATGGGAATGGAACCTACCAGACCTGCGTGTCCACCAGGATTCCCCAAGGACAGGAGCAGAGGTTCAGCTGTCACGTGGGACACAATGGGAATCACATTACTGGCACTGTGTCTTGTGGTGAGCCTGGGAGTCCCAGAAGAGGTTGGTAAGAGGGGGGAAGTGACCAGGGTGGTAAGAGGGGGGAAGCCTTGAGCCCCAGTCCCAGAGTGTAACAAGCCTTCTTTCAGGCACTGCACTGCCGCTTCGGAGCCGATGGCCCACCATTGTGGCTGCTGTTGTTAGTGCTGCCTTCTACTTTTGGCTCCTTTGGTGCAAGGAGAGGAGAACAACATCAGCTACAGAGGGTCCAGGTGAGAAAAGTGGTCACTGGCTGGAGATTGCAGAGCCTGTCTTGGCTGTAATGTCCCTGAAGCCTCCCACTGCACAGAGAGCATTGGAGGTGACCAGACTTCTGGAATGGAGGAGGATGAAGGTCTGCGGATTTGTGAAGTGATGGGAGCCATGTCTCCAGCTACTCCCCTTAGCCCTGCCAAACCCAGGGTAGAGAATTCTCTTGAAGTTCTAGCTGCAGATCTTCTGGCTGCAGGGGCTGTGGCTTCTGCTCCTCTCTCAGGCTCCACAGGCTTTACCAGGGGTCTGTGTTGGGAATGGTGGGCTGATTAGTGTGGGCTAGATTATCATGGCCTCAGGGGGACACACATTAAAAACATCTGCAGTCTGGGGGATCATAGCCTTGGGGGACCTCACAGTAAAAGCATCTGTTTTAGTCAGTTTTTCCACAGCTGTGACCCAAAGACCTGACAAGAATAATTTTAGAGGAGGAAAAGTTTATCTGGAGCTCATGGTTTCAGAGGTTTCAGCCCATAGATGGCTGACTGTGTTGCTCTGGGCCTGAGATGAGGCAGAACATAATGGAAGAAGGGTGTGGAGAAGAAAAGCAGCTTAGGACACAGCCAAAAGGAAGCAGAGAGAGCTTTCCCTTCACCAAGGACAAAAATATTCACCCCTAGGGACCCTCCTCCTCCACCCACACTCCACCTGCCCACAGTTACCACCCAGTTAATCCCTATCAGTGGATGAATGCAGTGATTATTTTAAGGCTCTTAGGAGCCAGTCATTGTACCTCTGAATGTTCTAGTATTGTTTACCACAGGATCTTTTTGGGGATCCCTCATATTTAAATCATAACAACATCTATGATCTGGGGCTGGGAGGCTTAGAAACTGGAGTGGAACCCCACGGGAGGTGATGCCTCTGGACCCTTCCTGACAATGTCCTCTCCCCAAGACACTCCAGCCATCATGAAGAAACCAGGAAAAAGACCCATGAGGCCTGGAGTGGGAGAGCCCAGCCTGCACAGCCTTGGGGAGGCCTGTGTAGAGCAGGTGTGGGGGTCTTCAGTGCAGCTGGTCATCTTCTGTCCTCTGTCCAGCTCCTCTAGTCCCTCCTCAGGAACTTTCCCCTGATTGTGTCCTCTGGGTCACCTAATATGTGCTCCCTTCTGTTCCCATCACATGGCTCCTCCTCTTGGAGTGGCTTTGCAGGTGATAGGGAGAGTAGAAAAACAGCTGTCCTTGACCATCTAGGGAGAGACACTAGCCCTCTGTGAGGCAGCTGCAGTTATTGTGTTTTTCCTGCTTCTGAGATCTTCCTTTCTAGTCCTTGGAGTCACAGTTCCTAGGGTTCAGTGTTTTGGGCATCTTGTTCTGTGCTCTGTGGGTTTCCCTTTCCACACTGAGCTATTTTCTTTTTTAGTATTTTCTTTTTTTTAGTTGTAGATGGACCCAATATCTTTATTTATTTTTATGTGGTGCTGAGGATCAAACCCAGTGCCTGACGCATGCGAGGCAAGTGCTCTACCACTGAGCTACAACGTCAGCCCCATCCTGAGCAATTTTCTTTTCTCAAGATGCTCACTGCTCTGTGAATTTGGTGTGAGGGATGGTCAGAATGATTCCTCCCTAATTAAATTGCTTGAGAGGACAGGAAAAGAAAACAGGAAGTTCAGGTTTTAGCAGAGAGCCAAGGTGATGGGTGAACAGTGACAGGGTGGAGGGTGGACAGAAGCTCAAATCTTGTTTCTGCCCCTTCTGTATGGCTGGCATGGGGGCAGTAGATGGTTTCTTGTCCTTAACCTGATTTCACTGTCTCTTGGCTTCTCAAGCCTGAGGAGACTGCCCCAGAGCATGGACCCAATGAAGGTAACTCCCCCAATAGGGAAATAAGCTTTCTGCTTGCTCTTTCTCTCTACCTGGGCTTCTCCAGTAGGGCAAACAGAGGGAGTATTTGTGTGTATGTGTGTGTGTGTGTGTATGTGTGTGTGTGTGTGTGTGCGTGTGTGTTTGTGGTGCTGGGGATTGAACCCAGGGCCTTGTGCATACAAGGCAAGCACTCTATCAACTGAGCTATAACCCCAACCCAGGGGGAGTATTAATGTTGATTTCCTGTAGGCAAAAATGATTGCCTGGAATGTCACTAGGGCATTGCCAGGGAAAAGAGTTCAGAAGGTCAGTTTCTCATTTCTGCATATTTCTGCTTTAAATGTTGGGTCTCTATAAGGATGTTTCTAGTTTCGGTTGCATGGATATGAATAATAGTCCTCTAGTGCTCATGTTATAGAAATCACATGAGTGCCCCATGGCAACTGGATTGTGGCTGTGGCAGTCCCAGAGGGCAGAGTGGGCAGACAGCCTCGGGCTAAGGGTCTCAGGAAAGCCCCTAGTCTGCATTGGAAAGAAGACCCCTGTGGGCTGTGAGGACTGTGGCCTGGGTAAGTTCCTGCTAAGACTGGGGCAGGAAGACCAGGGCCACCTCAGAAAGCACTGGCTCTTGGGGAGGAGCTGAATTCCCAGAGACAGGTATAATAGGGGGCAGAAGGTGGGAAAAGTGCAGATTGAGATCCTGGGCAGGTGCAGAGGGTAAAAGATACTTAGTCTCCTATGCACTGGCTGCTCCAGGGTTAGGTGAGCATCCGATCATGTGCCACATATGTTTTTCCATCGTAGGTGTGTCTGCTGGTGCCCCTGGGCTTCCTTGTGGGCTCTCAGTTAGAGCTACTAGCTCAGGACAGGGAGGGAGTGATGCTGAGCTGCAGTGGGGCAGGCCCTGCTGGGTGAGCACCTGTCTCTGCAGGGGAGGAGGTCTGTGAACTAAGGGGTTGAAGTGCTGTGTGTGAGTGAGCCCCATGCCCAGACCTGGCAGGATTAGGTGCTGCCCTCTCTGTGAGGCCCCTACTCTATCATGATTGGTTGGGCTTGAAAGGCGGGGGCACTGAGCTTCCCTCCCAGATTTTGTCCTCAAATACTGCAGCTTTTTCACCCTTTCCATGGTGGAAACAGAGACAGGTGGTGCTGCTGATGGAGACCCAGAGGAGCCTATGAGGGAAGGAAAATGGGATGAAAGGGAGAAAAAACTCAGGGAATTTACTTCTGTCAGAGAAAGGCCCAATCAGAGTTTTGAGGAACTGAGGAGAGAGAGGTCCTGAGGGAATAAAGAACAATATATATATATTTTTTTAAATATTATTATTGTCAGATTTTTTTTTAAAGAGAGAGAGAATTTTTAATATTTATTTTTTAGTTTTCGGCAGACATAATATCTTTGTTTGTATGGGGTGCTGAGGATCAATCCCGGGCCCCATGCATGCCAGACGAGTGCGCTACCGCTTGAGCCACCTCCCCAGCCCAATAAAGAACAATATTGTGCAACCAATTGAACATTGGTTCCTTCTTCCCCATAGGTCGAGAGTCTGCATGTTCCTGGATCAGCAGCTGAGGGCACCAACTGACCACATTGGACCAGGCGCAGCCCTATAATCCTAGAGACTGGGCAGACTGAGGCAGGAGGATTGCAATTTAGTGAGGTCCTAAGCAACTTGGTGAGACCTCATCTCAAAACAAAAATTAGCATGTAGCTCAGTAGTAAAGTGCTCTTGGTTCACACCCTAATTAAAAAAAAAAAAAGTTACCACACTGGAACCTTGAAGCTGGGATTTCTGCTTCTGCTGTCAGTTCCTGGCTCTCCTGATGCATCAGGGAGCTTAGACTCTGCTGCCCTTGGCTGGGCTTGGACTCGGCTTCCTACCCTCCTCCGACTAGCACTTTCTCTCTTGGTGCCTAAGGTTCCTCTTCTCTACCATTTGGAAAGACATATTCATCAACTGTTGGGGTTGTGGGATTTAATACAAATGAGCTGCTTGCAGCTCTGCCATACTACATATTTTATATATAAATTATTGTGAATGAATTTTATTTGTAAGTGTCCTTGTTTGCCTCCTCCCAAGAAGACTAAAATACTGGCTTTCCTTGACTGTGTAGGACCCCTCAATCCCCGTCTGACTATGCATTACTTCATGTCTTCATAATTTTATACCATATAAAATTTTATATATATATCTTATATGTATTTGTGTGTGTGTGTGTGTGTCTCATCTTTTTTATTTCATGTCTCTGGGAAGAGACAGTAAAAAAGTAAAAAAGTTAGGGAAAAGTACATGTTTGTCTCCATGTCTGACAGAGCATAAAAAAAAAAAAAAATCCACCCCCATTCTCAAAGTTTGCTGTGACCAAAAGATTCACAACAAGAGAGGGCTAGACCTGAGGGCAGGGCCACCCAGGGCCAATATTCAGAGCTGACTCTGTGGTTTCTTCTGCCTTGAAGAGCTGGAGCCCTCATGTGATGACTCAGAGTTGAAGGGTGTTTGGTTCTTAAAAATTCATGGTTGGCGTCTGTTGGGAGCTGGCGACCGCACCCTGAAAATGGCGCTGGCCTCCTGCTTCTGATGACTTAGCGGTTAGAGTTGTTAGAAGTAAACAACTCCTTGTAAGGCTGTGGGGCTGGGCTCTGGCCTGCTTCCGCTGCGCTGTACCTATTAGACTTTTCCACGTGGTGCTAGTTCATTGGCGAGGCTGGGTACTTAAGCTAGGGCAGACCGACCGCTCGCGCTCTTTCCTTTCTTGTTCCTGTTTTCTCATCATGATTCAAAGGTCCTGAGTAAACTGCTGAAAGAAGAATCCTGTGTCGTGTTTCCTTTGCCGGCGAGGGGTCACGACAGGTGTCCAAAGACCTGGCTACATGGCACAGAAAAATTACAGTGGAAATGAGCTTATTAAAGCAATGCCCCTAGGGACCTAGTTCCATTGAAAGCACTATTGTGCCCTGATGTGTGCAATAGAGCAGGACAGTGATCACAAGAACCCCCTCCCAGGTTTGTATGGTGTTGTGGTTTAGATATGAGGTGTCCTCCAAAGAGGTGAGATAGTGTAAGAAAGTTTAGAGGTTCAACAATTTGGTTATGAGAACCTCAACCTTAACCTATTTGATTTTTCGGTTAGGTAGTTTTTTGAGTTCTTTATATACCCTAGAGATTAGTGCTCTATCTGATGTGTGTGGGGTAAAGATTTGCTCCCAGAATGTAGGCTTTCTGTTCATCTTACAAATTGTTTCTTTTGCTGAGAAGAAACTTTTTAGTTTGATTCCATCCCATTTATTAATTCTTGGTTTTAATTCTTGTGCTATAGGAGTCTTTTTAAGGAAGTTGGGGCCTAATCCCTCATGATGAAGATTAGAGCCTACTTTTTCTTCTATTAGATGCAGAGTCTGTGGTTTAATTCCTAGGACCTTGATACATTTTGAGTTAAGTTTTGTGCATGGTGAGAGATATGGGTTTAATTTCATTTTGTTGCAAATGGATTTCCAGTTTTCCCAGCACCATTTGTTGAAGATGCTATTTTTTCTCCAGTGCATGTTTTTGGCAACTTTGTCTAATATAAGATAATCATAATTTTGTCGGTTAGTCTCTGTGACCTCTATTATGTACCATTGGTCTACCAGTCTGTTTTGGTGCCAATG